TCCTCTTTATTATATTATAAATTATATCTACTGAACAATTAAATATTTTTAGAACATTAAACTGATTTCTTCTTTAAAAGCTTGAACAAAATTATTGTAAAGATTATAAAATAATTATCTTTATTTATATTTATATTATTACTTTTGTCTTTTTTTATTTCCAATGTAACTACTGTAATGTATGTAACTACTGTATTGTTTATAAATAAATTAAAATTAAAATTCAGTCAAATTCTCACAACAAACAACCCCGGCCATAGCGGTGCCAAGAAGACACTTATTTAGCATGAGACTTTATCCATCGTGCGGTGTAGAAAGGGGTGTAGCATGTGTCGCAAGCGTGACAGAACGGTAAGGTATGTAAGGATGTTTGGGCGTTAGCGCACCTAGCAACGTAGACTTTTGCGCCATTATTTGAAAATTTAATTATTTGCAGATCTCCAGTGCTGGATCCAGCAGGATTGCTGGATGTGGTATCCAGCAATTTTAATCCCTAACCACTAACCAATATATTGGTTGGCGACGCCCTTGGTTATATGTATAAAGACCAGATCTTTGATTTTTTTACACTGACTATTTCCCTCGTCTTAATTTCCACCAATCACAAACGCGCAATTTTGAATTACAAATGGTTTCTAGGTGAAAAAACTGTGTGACAGCACCTGTCAGCAGTTTATTCGAGTTTACCCGCGGCAAAACTTGACAGCAGTTGTCACCAACAATTGCAATTTATATTTTAATTGTTAACTGTTACTCATGAAATAGTCTTGTCAAATACCATTCGGGCATCTAATTTTTCCTGTGAAAAAAATCGAAAAAACACAATGCTAAGTAATATTTTTTAACAAAATGCATTCGTGCAGGTGCAAAAATCCTCCTCTTCGACTCGGATTTTTGTTGCCACCAGCACTCATGCTTTTTGTTAAAATATTACTTAGCAACGTGTTTTTTCGATTCTTTTCGGAAAAATTAGATGCCCTTATGATATTACTTACGATTAATTCCGGTACTCTAAAAAGTTGTTTCTACTTTTTACACCAGATACACGTTAGCCACAAACTTTAGCAACAAATCTGTCCGGACGCTCGATTTATTATATTTTAATTTTCTGCTGGAAAACTACAATTGTTGAAATATTTTTATAACAGTTAATTGGTCACCTTTTCAACAGTCGGTATATAAATAATAATAAAAAGTAGTATTATTTATTTACTACACAGAAAAAACTCTAGCATAGCATGGATGGGTGAGCCATTGAACCAATGGGATCTTGTAATCCGTATTCCTGAATAACAGTTCCTATAATACCAGAAGGTAGTTAGCACTTGGTTTATAATCGTTTACTGTTTTTAAATTAACAACAAAAGTTATCGCTCCTAAATCTATTGATATTCATATTGATATTTATTTGTTAGAATCAGGGGCGTGCTGGCTGAATCAATGCAGGCCTGGACTAGATGGTAGAGCAGTCCAGGCCCAAGCCAATTTCATATAAATTGTAAAAATACATCACAATTAAATTCCTCGACTGTTAAAACGTCCCGTGATAACTCTCTTCGCAACAAAGAACTGTTTTCAGCTAGTTCAATTATTAAGTCACAATCTAAACCATTTTGCACCTTACTCTCCACAGCAATCAGCTTAAAAGCTTCCAAATTTACGTCACTTCTTACTGATATTACTGCGAGAGGGGGCTTTTTTGGATGCTTTTGTTATTATGTTTCTATTTCTCTATAAATCCGAGCTGATCCCCCCTTCTGATAATTTATATATTGACTAAAATTGCATTTTATCGAAGTGGCCCCGGTTCAGTTTGGATTTCCAAAGAATCGGAATAATACTAATAATCGGAATAATTACGAAAGCATCCAAAATATCCCCACGCCTTAGGGTTTCCACCTGCGACTTCTTGGTTAAGGTTTAGCAAAAAAATACGTGTTTTAGATTTAAAACTTTCTTTTTTTTAATTTATTTTAGTGTTTAGTGATATAACTTGAAAAAACTTTTTGTTTGCTATAAAAATCTTTTTTCCAGTCCAGCAGACCACCATGGTAGCGCAGGCCACCGGGCATTCGCCCGGTGTCCCGGCGGCCCAGCACGCCCCTGGTTAGAATGGTAGAATGCTATTGCATTAAATACTAATTTGATTTATTTAATAACGTTACTATTGTATGTATACTATGTATACATTTAACGCAATAAATTCTTTGACATTTAGGCAAAATATTTCCCTATTTTGGTTTAATAGTAATTGAGCAAATAACAATTTAGATTGCTTCAATTTTAATGCATTCAATGACAGCGCTGTTCTTGGTACTATGTTAGATTTTTTTCTGTGTAGGCATTTATAGTCAAATTTTTTTTAATTTGGTTTAAATTTAAAATTTCATATTTTACTTTATCAGATAAGATAATATTATTAGATTTAATATACCCGGTATATTATGTATGAATACCAAATCTTAAATTTTTTTAGGCTGCTTGATTCTTTATTTGAGGTGTGACTATAATAATAATATTATATTATATAGAAGATGTTTGGTTGAATAGAACGGGGTGCATCTTTGTCATCAAAATTTTCATAAGAAAAACGAGCTGTTTTTTCTGAAACAGGCACCATAAACCGGCAAAATCTGCGTAAACTTTTTCGAGTGCCCTAACACATCATTTTTGCAGTTTAGCAAAAAGTCAATTATATCATAAAATGCCATTAAGGTATTTATTATCATAGGGTTTTTTATAAGAAAGGAAGACATTTCACCCTAAATAAAGAATGTTGATGTTGGACAATTATTCTTTTCAAAATTTATTAATATTGAACAACCTAGTGGCTGCATTACAATGTACTACCAAAATTTGTTAAAGTAGGCGTTGTGTAACTAGTTAATGTCTTTTGACTAAATAAAGTAGTTCGAACGGCTAACTGTTCTCAGTCGGGCATTAGGTAAGGCTAACTAAGATATTGTTCAGTTGGCGCCAGATCTGTCTTAAGACTTATTTTAAGTTAAAAAGGAAAACAAATTATTTTATTTGAAGATTTTTATACTTTTTACAATTTTCACCTTAACTAGACACTTGTAGAAATAGGAAGCCAAAATTTTGTAGCCTAAATACTAAACCAAAAAGACAAAATGATTCCCACGAAACCATCGGGACGAGACTTTTATTATCTAATCTGAATTGAATCACCATAAAAAGTAAATATGCACCAAATTGGTGGTTTTACTTTATGACATAAAAATTTAATATTTCATTTACATGGATTAATAAAAATATTCAATAAATTGCCCCTGCCTCACCAAAAACTTAAACAAGTGACATTTATGATTTATAAGATACTCACCTTCTGATCGACCAGAGAGTTCAAATTAGGTACGAATATTATTATATTATTAATCACTTACAAAAATGACCTATATAGAGGCAAGATTCAACATTGTTTTTTTTTCATATAATTGGAAACCACCTTAATTAGAGTTTGATATAATGAAAATAATTTTTAGAGCTCGCTTTTGCATCGACATAAATAGTTTAATTAACGTCATTATATTCTCAGTGACATGCTATATACCAATTTTGCATACAAAACTAAACTTAACCAACTATAATATTACCTATTTTAAATAAAGGTTTTATGTTTTTAATAGTGAAGGTAACTAAGTAGTTTATTATTTGTTAAGTTAATAATGTTTTCTTCATAGATAATATTATCCCGAATATAAGTTACAACATCATCATTCTTATTATGCTTAGACTCTTGTATAGGAGACAGTTTTCTCTGTTATCTACGATTATGATTTTTTGAAAGGTGATACATGAAAAACTAATGCAATATTGTAAAATATAAAAATACTTATAAATAGCTAATTGATTATAAACAAAATGTCTGAGACATTTAGGTCGATTTAACACCACTTCATTTTTGCATTATCTTAACTTAGTTTGCTTCCACAGTATTTAAGCCTAATATAAAAATCCAATTACTTAAAAAATATAAATGTTACAGTTTAATTTAAATATAATCACACAAGACATTTTTCCAATACAAGCTTTGATAACCAAAATGATCCATTCAATCGACATACAGTAATCTACAGAGTTAGCGTCCCATTGTCTTGGCAATGGAGGATACTTAAGAATAAAATCCATATGTCCCGCTTTCGTCTCCATTTCTGCATTGATTTTGACCAGATCCTGAGTCATAACACATTTCACGTGTTTCGAAGTGTAACCTCTATCATCTAGAACAACCTAACAAACATTGTTTTTTGAATGGGCTTTCCAAATAAAGATATAAGATTATCTAAAGGTGGATTGCACAATGAAATACTATGTGTTTCAATATCAAAAATAATTGTATAAGAAAACTAATTATATAACATTGCGAATTTGGATTTGGAACCTCAAAATTAATTCATGGAAATTAAAAAATAAATAAGATAAGAATACACAATTGAAATTAGTTCAAGCTGGTCGCTGGACCCACAAATTAAAAATATCTATTTTAGTAGCAAAAAATATAAAAAAATAAGTTTACTCTGCAAAATTCTTTCATTTCGATTTGCCAGTCTTAAAAATAAAGCTAATGTTTGTACCCGTATATGTTATAGGCAAAGCCCGTTGTTTCCAAGTTTAACTAGCCAATCCTCAAGGTTCAAAACGACTGTTTGTTTAACCAATAAATTTTTGCCTAATTTTGGTCAGTCAAAGATTGAATTCATTTTAATGATCAGCCTATAGGCTGATAGACTATAGTCTAACTTAAACGTTTATTGCATCGGGTTGTTAATGTTGAACGGTTTAAAAAAATTATAACATAATAGTACATTACAGATCCAGTGGCGAAAGGCGGTGATTTCTGAAAGTTGTACGCTATTTTTCATGAGAAGCGCAACGGAAATTCACCAGATGTTAAATATTTACGCGTTTTTACATCTTTGAGCGTAGCCTAGTTAACGCATAAACAATCATTCGAAGAAACCTGAAGACAATTTAAGAAGTTAACTTTTTGGATGCGCATCACTAAAAAGGCAGCCTTCTTCTTCTTCTTCTTCTTCTTCTTCTTCTGGTTTGATTGGCCTTTCCCTTCCGGGATTTAGCCAGCTAAATTTTATTATTATTATACTCCTTTTCTTCTTGGTTTTATAGTTTATTAATTATTATTATTTTTGTCACTTTTAGTTTCTTTTTTCACTTCTTTATTCACAAAATTAGATTTATTCACCATCCTTCCAAACACATTACGTTACATTACATCATCCGTATATTTCTTAAAAATCGATTAATCTTTCACCATTTTGTTTTCCATTTAATCACATACAACATTAATATAATACACTTCTAAACTCCATTATGTTTTTTCATTCCAACCATGCACCACATGGCAAATGCACAGACTTTTCTTTAAATATTTCAGTCATCCATCGTAGAAATTGTTCGTTCATTAACAAATCTATTGTAGAGTTTGTATTTATGACACTGACCAGCGTATTTTTGTGCTGGGATTCCAATTTCGTCCCTCCAGGGTCACAGGTCAAGAGCCAAGTGCACTCTTCGAAGAACGAAACCCGAATTAAAAAAAAAGGCAGCCAAAGTCGAATTTTTGCTGCGCGTGTCATAAGAAACAGTTTTAATCCAAATAAAATTACCCAAATGTGAACCTTTGCGTTGCAAACACTGTTCAAAACTTAACCTCATATTTGTTAAAACTCGCATATTTTGCGCAATATTCCATGGCGTTTCAGGAGTCCTAATTTGACTCCTGATTTTTTTCTTTGGAGACAGTGGCGTGCAGAACGGGCGACGCAGGATCCCCTAAAGACCTGCATCATAACCTAATTTTTTTTGCGTATTAACGTGGTCTAAAAATTTAATTAATAATTTAAACCTTTATAATCCAAATTTAAATTTTACCCTTCGATATAACTAGATATGTGAAAAATGGTTTTTTTCAGACAGAAAAAACCGTTTATTTCGTTTTTTTCAAAATCGGTAAAAACGGGTAAAATAATTAATTTATATAAAAATAAATGTTCATTTATTTAAAGTTTTTTTTGTATAGAACCACATCCAAATATAGTAAAACTATCAAAACAGTTAAGTTATGAAAAATCCATCAATTTAAATAGATCATTGGTGGTTTTTGGCCAGAAAAAAAAATTTATTAATTTTGGGTGGTAAAAGAGACAAAATACATTTTTTTCGGGGAAGGGCCATCACCTTTGCACGCCACTGTTTAGAGTGGCAAACCCAAAACGATAGTCCAAATAAGAAAAAATATTTTTTTAAATGTATACTTCCAGTTTTAAAGAGTAATTGCAACATGATGGTTTACATCTGAATAATTTTTTAGTATGAAAATATGTTCCCTAATCTTTACGTTGATATTGTTAATTTGTTTATAAGATTTTAGTATTTCGTTATAATTTATTATTCATTATTTTTATGGTTGATTTTTAGTACGTTAAATTTTAAAAAATTGCTTACATTATTAATGACATATTATAAAAGAATAATAATTATTAATCAGTTAGTTAAATCACCCTGTATAAAAAATTCCAGTGATTATAAAAATATCTATAAACTATCTATAATTTTAAACTTTGGTTACGACCATAGGGCAATGAGATCTATTTTTCTAAAATACGTTCAATGCGCTGTTACTTTTGGTTGAACCGGAAGTGACAGTAACTTTGTTTTTTTAAATCGAACCCTTCAAATATTTTTTATTTTTAATATTCACGTGTAATTTTGGGGCTATTGAACTTTGAACTTTTATTATTTTAAATTGTTTTTGAAATATTATTTTTTTCAGAATATGGAGTGAATAAATAAAATTTTACGTTAACAGTTATAATATTGAAAAGTTATGGTAAAAACGTCGACAAAGGGGGCCATTAACAGTATCTCAAAAGTTTAGGCAGTGTTTGGTATTTCCGTTTACTTTTTGCCAGAGATATTACCAAAAATGTAAAAAAATGTTTATTTGACTCGTAAGACTTTGCGGTTTACAACACTTTTACTAGATATGTAGGAAAATGTAGGACAAATAAATACTTAATTTTAACGTAATACGTAATGCGTAATAAGTAATACGTAATGCGTAATAAGTAATACCTACGTAATAAAACGAATTAATACTATTTAGTCCTTATCACATCAGCGTTATATCAAATTGATATCAGGATAATTAAGGTGTCAAATTAAAATCATATTAGTTACGTCACGATCTGACGTAAATATATGTATGTATGACTTACTCAGAAGTCATATCTTATGTAAAGCATGATTTCATGCTGCCGTCAAATTTACATCATCAGCTACATCATATCATTTTAAAGTTATAACTTATAAAAATATATATATTTTTATTTACGAATTTTAATTAGGCATGAGAAAGCTTACAAGCGAGTGTTTAATATCAAAAAAGCCTAGAAAAGTTTATAAATGAGTTGCGTACTATAATTTATACTTTTTTTACAAAAAATATTATTATACAAAATAATTTATTACTAATTAGGTAATTTAAATATTTGTATCTATCGACATCTATACAAAAATAGAGTAACCAAGTTAATAATCTGTTTTATCAATTTAAGTCCAAATTTTCTGTAAAAATCAAAATGTCCCACTTGAAATTGGACAACCATTTAAATCTGATATAAAACCAGTTTTTTATTGTAAATAAATTTTTATGGATACTCCAACCAAAAATATTAAAGCAGCTGCCCTGGGGCAGTGGGATCGGCAACTACTTACTATAGTTTGCTGATTGGCGTTAAGAAACTTTTTTTTATTTTTTTATTGATATAATAAAATAATTTTTACATTTTAATTTTAATTATCAACGTACTTAAAGTTAACTTTAGCACGTGACTAAAAAGCCCAAAAGCCGTTGCTGCTAACTTCTGCCAGTGAATAAAACGCCTTTTGGTCGCAGCTTTTTATTGTATGTTTTAGAGGTGGGGTAAAAAAGCATGTACCTACCTATTTAAAATTATATATTTAAATTAAAATAAGAAAAAATTGAACGTACACCTCGCCAAAGTTTTTGTTTTGAATGCGTTCCACCAACTTCAAATACCGACAGACAGCTGTTTCGACCTTTATTGGGTCTCATCAGTGTCGGGCAACTTGGTGTAGTGGAACACAATCAAAACAAATCACTCCCAGGGCTTATATGCTCCGCTGTTAAGTCAACAGAGGCGAGATGTAAGAACATCTGGTGATCCTCACCGTCTAACGACGTGCATAGTATGTACCGATTGCGGCAAAGGCCACGTCGTTAGACGGTGAGGATCACCAGATGTTCTTACATCTCGCCTCTGTTGACTTAACAGCGGAGCATATAAGCCCTGGGAGTGATTTGTTTTGATTGTGTTCCACTACACCAAGTTGCCCGACACTGATGAGACCCAATTAAGGTCGAAACAGCTGTCTGTCGGTATTTGAAGTTGGTGGAACGCATTCTAAACAAAAACTTTGGCGAGGTGTACGTTCAATTTTTTCTTATGAATATTTCCAGTGATGGGTCAAGAAAGTTTCTTAAAGAAACTAAGAAAATTGAATGTTTAAATTAAAATGTTCAGAACTCATAAATTTAGACTCTACCCAAGTATAATGTCTTTTTAAAAATCCTCCTGCAAATGAAAAAAATCCTTAACAACTTTTAACCGAATTCCTGATAACTATAATAATTATTGAGTTAGATTCGAAGTTTTTATTTGCAAGCGCCGATATATCATGATTTGTATCATGCCGATATATCTTAGGATTGTAGAATTTTAATTAATGAGTAGGTAATAAATATTAAATACTAAATCGTATTTATAGTTATATTTATTTTAAATAAAAATATTGCCCGCATACGTAAACAACTTAAACCTAAAAATGTATATATCAAAAAATAAATAAATTTATATAATAAAATGAATTAAAAGCACCACAATAGACGTAATAGAAATTACATTTGTAGAAGCACCGTCTGGAAACAGTGGACCAATAGGATCTGAATCATCCGGTGTTGTGGGTAATTCTGTTGGCTTGGTAGGATTACTTGAGGGTGTTGTGTCCGAAGCTTTAGTTGTTGCAGTAGTTGGTCCAGCTTCAGTTGTGTTCGTCGCTTCAGTTGTTGTCGTTGCATTGGTTGGTGGTGCCGCTGTGACAGTTGTGTTCGTCGCTTCAGTTGTTGTCGTTGATTTGGTTGGTGGGGCGACTGTGACAGTTGTGTTCGTCGCTTCAGTTGTTGTCGTTGATTTGGTTGGTGGGGCGACTGTGACTGTTGTGTTTGTCGCTTCAGTTGTTGTCGTTGATTTGGTTGGTGGGGCGACTGTGACAGTTGTGTTCGTCGCTTCAGTTGTTGTCGTTGATTTGGTTGGTGGTGCCGCTGTGACAGTTGTGTTCGTCGCTTCAGTTGTTGTCGTTGCATTGGTTGGTGGTGCCGCTGTGACAGTTGTGTTCGTCGCTTCAGTTGTTGTCGTTGATTTGGTTGGTGGGGCGACTGTGACAGTTGTGTTCGTCGCTTCAGTTGTTGTCGTTGATTTGGTTGGTGGGGCGACTGTGACAGTTGTGTTCGTCGCTTCAGTTGTTGTCGTTGATTTGGTTGGTGGGGCGACTGTGACAGTTGTGTTCGTCGCTTCAGTTGTTGTCGTTGATTTGGTTGGTGGGGCGACTGTGACTGTTGTGTTTGTCGCTTCAGTTGTTGTCGTTGATTTGGTTGGTGGGGCGACTGTGACAGTTGTGTTCGTCGCTTCAGTTGTTGTCGTTGATTTGGTTGGTGGTGCCGCTGTGACAGTTGTGTTCGTCGCTTCAGTTGTTGTCGTTGCATTGGTTGGTGGTGCCGCTGTGACAGTAGTGTTCGTCGCTTCAGTTGTTGTCGTTGATTTGGTTGGTGGGGCGGCTGTGACAGTTGTGTTCGTCGCTTCAGTTGTTGTCGTTGATTTGGTTGGTGGTGCCGCTGTGACAGTTGTGTTCGTCGCTTCAGTTGTTGTCGTTGCATTGGTTGGTGGTGCCGCTGTGACAGTTGTGTTCGTCGCTTCAGTTGTTGTCGTTGATTTGGTTGGTGGGGCGACTGTGACAGTTGTGTTCGTCGCTTCAGTTGTTGTCGTTGATTTGGTTGGTGGGGCGACTGTGACAGTTGTGTTCGTCGCTTCAGTTGTTGTCGTTGATTTGGTTGGTGGGGCGACTGTAACAGTTGTGTTCGTCGCTTCAGTTGTTGTCGTTGCATTGGTTGGTGGTGCCGCTGTGACAGTTGTGTTCGTCGCTTCAGTTGTTGTCGTTGATTTGGTTGGTGGGGCGACTGTGACAGTTGTGTTCGTCGCTTCAGTTGTTGTCGTTGATTTGGTTGGTGGTGCCGCTGTGACAGTTGTGTTCGTCGCTTCAGTTGTTGTCGTTGCATTGGTTGGTGGTGCCGCTGTGACAGTTGTGTTCGTCGCTTCAGTTGTTGTCGTTGATTTGGTTGGTGGGGCGACTGTGACAGTTGTGTTCGTCGCTTCAGTTGTTGTCGTTGATTTGGTTGGTGGTGCCGCTGTGACAGTTGTGTTCGTCGCTTCAGTTGTTGTCGTTGCATTGGTTGGTGGTGCCGCTGTGACAGTTGTGTTCGTCGCTTCAGTTGTTGTCGTTGATTTGGTTGGTGGGGCGACTGTGACAGTTGTGTTCGTCGCTTCAGTTGTTGTCGTTGATTTGGTTGGTGGGGCGACTGTGACAGTTGTGTTCGTCGCTTCAGTTGTTGTCGTTGATTTGGTTGGTGGTGCCGCTGTGACAGTTGTGTTCGTCGCTTCAGTTGTTGTCGTTGATTTGGTTGGTGGGGCGACTGTGACTGTTGTGTTTGTCGCTTCAGTTGTTGTCGTTGATTTGGTTGGTGGGGCGACTGTGACAGTTGTGTTCGTCGCTTCAGTTGTTGTCGTTGATTTGGTTGGTGGGGCGACTGTAACAGTTGTGTTCGTCGCTTCAGTTGTTGTCGTTGATTTGGTTGGTGGGGCGACTGTGACTGTTGTGTTTGTCGCTTCAGTTGTTGTCGTTGATTTGGTTGGTGGTGCCGCTGTGACAGTTGTGTTCGTCGCTTCAGTTGTTGTCGTTGATTTGGTTGGTGGGGCGACTGTGACAGTTGTGTTCGTCGCTTCAGTTGTTGTCGTTGATTTGGTTGGTGGGGCGACTGTGACAGTTGTGTTCGTCGCTTCAGTTGTTGTCGTTGATTTGGTTGGTGGGGCGACTGTGACTGTTGTGTTTGTCGCTTCAGTTGTTGTCGTTGATTTGGTTGGTGGGGCGACTGTGACAGTTGTGTTCGTCGCTTCAGTTGTTGTCGTTGATTTGGTTGGTGGGGCGACTGTGACAGTTGTGTTCGTCGCTTCAGTTGTTGTCGTTGATTTGGTTGGTGGGGCGACTGTGACAGTTGTGTTCGTCGCTTCAGTTGTTGTCGTTGATTTGGTTGGTGGGGCGACTGTGACTGTTGTGTTTGTCGCTTCAGTTGTTGTCGTTGATTTGGTTGGTGGGGCGACTGTGACAGTTGTGTTCGTCGCTTCAGTTGTTGTCGTTGATTTGGTTGGTGGGGCGACTGTAACAGTTGTGTTCGTCGCTTCAGTTGTTGTCGTTGATTTGGTTGGTGGGGCGACTGTGACTGTTGTGTTTGTCGCTTCAGTTGTTGTCGTTGATTTGGTTGGTGGTGCCGCTGTGACAGTTGTGTTTGTCGCTTCAGTTGTTGTCGTTGATTTGGTTGGTGGGGCGACTGTGACAGTTGTGTTCGTCGCTTCAGTTGTTGTCGTTGATTTGGTTGGTGGGGCGACTGTGACAGTTGTGTTCGTCGCTTCAGTTGTTGTCGTTGATTTGGTTGGTGGGGCGACTGTGACAGTTGTGTTCGTCGCTTCAGTTGTTGTCGTTGATTTGGTTGGTGGGGCGACTGTGACTGTTGTGTTCGTCGCTTCAGTTGTTGTCGTTGATTTGGTTGGTGGGGCGACTGTGACAGTTGTGTTCGTCGCTTCAGTTGTTGTCGTTGATTTGGTTGGTGGGGCGACTGTGACTGTTGTGTTTGTCGCTTCAGTTGTTGTCGTTGATTTGGTTGGTGGGGCGACTGTGACAGTTGTGTTCGTCGCTTCAGTTGTTGTCGTTGATTTGGTTGGTGGGGCGACTGTGACAGTTGTGTTCGTCGCTTCAGTTGTTGTCGTTGATTTGGTTGGTGGGGCGACTGTGACTGTTGTGTTTGTCGCTTCAGTTGTTGTCGTTGATTTGGTTGGTGGGGCGACTGTGACAGTTGTGTTCGTCGCTTCAGTTGTTGTCGTTGATTTGGTTGGTGGGGCGACTGTAACAGTTGTGTTCGTCGCTTCAGTTGTTGTCGTTGATTTGGTTGGTGGGGCGACTGTGACTGTTGTGTTTGTCGCTTCAGTTGTTGTCGTTGATTTGGTTGGTGGTGCCGCTGTGACAGTTGTGTTTGTCGCTTCAGTTGTTGTCGTTGATTTGGTTGGTGGGGCGACTGTGACAGTTGTGTTCGTCGCTTCAGTTGTTGTCGTTGATTTGGTTGGTGGGGCGACTGTGACAGTTGTGTTCGTCGCTTCAGTTGTTGTCGTTGATTTGGTTGGTGGGGCGACTGTGACTGTTGTGTTTGTCGCTTCAGTTGTTGTCGTTGATTTGGTTGGTGGGGCGACTGTGACAGTTGTGTTCGTCGCTTCAGTTGTTGTCGTTGATTTGGTTGGTGGGGCGACTGTGACAGTTGTGTTCGTCGCTTCAGTTGTTGTCGTTGATTTGGTTGGTGGGGCGACTGTGACTGTTGTGTTTGTCGCTTCAGTTGTTGTCGTTGATTTGGTTGGTGGGGCGACTGTGACAGTTGTGTTCGTCGCTTCAGTTGTTGTCGTTGATTTGGTTGGTGGGGCGACTGTGACAGTTGTGTTCGTCGCTTCAGTTGTTGTCGTTGATTTGGTTGGTGGGGCGACTGTGACAGTTGTGTTCGTCGCTTCAGTTGTTGTCGTTGATTTGGTTGGTGGGGCGACTGTGACTGTTGTGTTTGTCGCTTCAGTTGTTGTCGTTGATTTGGTTGGTGGTGCCGCTGTGACAGTTGTGTTCGTCGCTTCAGTTGTTGTCGTTGCATTGGTTGGTGGTGCCGCTGTGACAGTAGTGTTCGTCGCTTCAGTTGTTGTCGTTGATTTGGTTGGTGGGGCGGCTGTGACAGTTGTGTTCGTCGCTTCAGTTGTTGTCGTTGATTTGGTTGGTGGTGCCGCTGTGACAGTTGTGTTCGTCGCTTCAGTTGTTGTCGTTGCATTGGTTGGTGGTGCCGCTGTGACAGTTGTGTTCGTCGCTTCAGTTGTTGTCGTTGATTTGGTTGGTGGGGCGACTGTGACAGTTGTGTTCGTCGCTTCAGTTGTTGTCGTTGATTTGGTTGGTGGGGCGACTGTGACAGTTGTGTTCGTCGCTTCAGTTGTTGTCGTTGATTTGGTTGGTGGGGCGACTGTGACAGTTGTGTTCGTCGCTTCAGTTGTTGTCGTTGATTTGGTTGGTGGTGCCGCTGTGACAGTTGTGTTCGTCGCTTCAGTTGTTGTCGTTGCATTGGTTGGTGGTGCCGCTGTGACAGTTGTGTTCGTCGCTTCAGTTGTTGTCGTTGATTTGGTTGGTGGGGCGACTGTGACAGTTGTGTTCGTCGCTTCAGTTGTTGTCGTTGATTTGGTTGGTGGGGCGACTGTGACAGTTGTGTTCGTCGCTTCAGTTGTTGTCGTTGATTTGGTTGGTGGTGCCGCTGTGACAGTTGTGTTCGTCGCTTCAGTTGTTGTCGTTGATTTGGTTGGTGGGGCGACTGTGACAGTTGTGTTCGTCGCTTCAGTTGTTGTCGTTGATTTGGTTGGTGGGGCGACTGTGACAGTTGTGTTCGTCGCTTCAGTTGTTGTCGTTGATTTGGTTGGTGGTGCCGCTGTGACAGTTGTGTTCGTCGCTTCAGTTGTTGTCGTTGATTTGGTTGGTGGGGCGACTGTGACTGTTGTGTTTGTCGCTTCAGTTGTTGTCGTTGATTTGGTTGGTGGGGCGACTGTGACAGTTGTGTTCGTCGCTTCAGTTGTTGTCGTTGATTTGGTTGGTGGGGCGACTGTGACAGTTGTGTTCGTCGCTTCAGTTGTTGTCGTTGATTTGGTTGGTGGGGCGACTGTGACAGTTGTGTTCGTCGCTTCAGTTGTTGTCGTTGATTTGGTTGGTGGGGCGACTGTGACTGTTGTGTTTGTCGCTTCAGTTGTTGTCGTTGATTTGGTTGGTGGGGCGACTGTGACAGTTGTGTTCGTCGCTTCAGTTGTTGTCGTTGATTTGGTTGGTGGGGCGACTGTGACAGTTGTGTTCGTCGCTTCAGTTGTTGTCGTTGATTTGGTTGGTGGGGCGACTGTAACAGTTGTGTTCGTCGCTTCAGTTGTTGTCGTTGATTTGGTTGGTGGGGCGACTGTGACTGTTGTGTTTGTCGCTTCAGTTGTTGTCGTTGATTTGGTTGGTGGGGCGACTGTGACTGTTGTGTTTGTCGCTTCAGTTGTTGTCGTTGATTTGGTTGGTGGGGCGACTGTGACTGTTGTGTTTGTCGCTTCAGTTGTTGTCGTTGATTTGGTTGGTGGGGCGACTGTGACTGTTGTGTTTGTCGCTTTAGTTGTTGTCGTTGATTTGGTTGGTGGGGCGACTGTGACAGTTGTGTTCGTCGCTTCAGTTGTTGTCGTTGATTTGGTTGGTGGGGCGACTGTGACAGTTGTGTTCGTCGCTTCAGTTGTTGTCGTTGATTTGGTTGGTGGGGCGACTGTGACAGTTGTGTTCGTCGCTTCAGTTGTTGTCGTTGATTTGGTTGGTGGGGCGACTGTGACTGTTGTGTTTGTCGCTTCAGTTGTTGTCGTTGATTTGGTTGGTGGGGCGACTGTGACAGTTGTGTTCGTCGCTTCAGTTGTTGTCGTTGATTTGGTTGGTGGGGCGACTGTGACAGTTGTGTTCGTCGCTTCAGTTGTTGTCGTTGATTTGGTTGGTGGGGCGACTGTGACAGTTGTGTTCGTCGCTTCAGTTGTTGTCGTTGATTTGGTTGGTGGGGCGACTGTGACTGTTGTGTTTGTCGCTTCAGTTGTTGTCGTTGATTTGGTTGGTGGGGCGACTGTGACAGTTGTGTTCGTCGCTTCAGTTGTTGTCGTTGATTTGGTTGGTGGGGCGACTGTGACTGTTGTGTTTGTCGCTTCAGTTGTTGTCGTTGATTTGGTTGGTGGGGCGACTGTGACAGTTGTGTTCGTCGCTTCAGTTGTTGTCGTTGATTTGGTTGGTGGGGCGACTGTGACAGTTGTGTTCGTCGCTTCAGTTGTTGTCGTTGATTTGGTTGGTGGGGCGACTGTGACAGTTGTGTTCGTCGCTTCAGTTGTTGTCGTTGATTTGGTTGGTGGGGCGACTGTGACAGTTGTGTTCGTCGCTTCAGTTGTTGTCGTTGATTTGGTTGGTGGGGCGACTGTGACAGTTGTGTTCGTCGCTTCAGTTGTTGTCGTTGATTTGGTTGGTGGGGCGACTGTGACAGTTGTGTTCGTCGCTTCAGTTGTTGTCGTTGATTTGGTTGGTGGGGCGACTGTGACTGTTGTGTTTGTCGCTTCAGTTGTTGTCGTTGATTTGGTTGGTGGGGCGACTGTGACAGTTGTGTTCGTCGCTTCAGTTGTTGTCGTTGATTTGGTTGGTGGGGCGACTGTGACTGTTGTGTTTGTCGCTTCAGTTGTTGTCGTTGATTTGGTTGGTGGGGCGACTGTGACAGTTGTGTTCGTCGCTTCAGTTGTTGTCGTTGATTTGGTTGGTGGGGCGACTGTGACAGTTGTGTTCGTCGCTTCAGTTGTTGTCGTTGATTTGGTTGGTGGGGCGACTGTGACAGTTGTGTTCGTCGCTTCAGTTGTTGTCGTTGATTTGGTTGGTGGGGCGACTGTGACAGTTGTGTTCGTCGCTTCAGTTGTTGTCGTTGATTTGGTTGGTGGGGCGACTGTGACTGTTGTGTTTGTCGCTTCAGTTGTTGTCGTTGATTTGGTTGGTGGGGCGACTGTGACAGTTGTGTTCGTCGCTTCAGTTGTTGTCGTTGATTTGGTTGGTGGGGCGACTGTGACAGTTGTGTTCGTCGCTTCAGTTGTTGTCGTTGATTTGGTTGGTGGGGCGACTGTAACAGTTGTGTTCGTCGCTTCAGTTGTTGTCGTTGCATTGGTTGGTGGTGCCGCTGTGACAGTTGTGTTCGTCGCTTCAGTTGTTGTCGTTGATTTGGTTGGTGGGGCTACTGTGACAGTTGTGTTCGTCGCTTCAGTTGTTGTCGTTGATTTGGTTGGTGGGGCGACTGTGACAGTTGTGTTCGTCGCTTCAGTTGTTGTCGTTGATTTGGTTGGTGGGGCGACTGTGACAGTTGTGTTCGTCGCTTCAGTTGTTGTCGTTGATTTGGTTGGTGGTGCCGCTGTGACAGTTGTGTTCGTCGCTTCAGTTGTTGTCGTTGCATTGGTTGGTGGTGCCGCTGTGACAGTTGTGTTCGTCGCTTTAGTTGTTGTCGTTGATTTGGTTGGTGGGGCGACTGTGACAGTTGTGTTCGTCGCTTCAGTTGTTGTCGTTGATTTGGTTGGTGGGGCGACTGTGACAGTTGTGTTCGTCGCTTCAGTTGTTGTCGTTGATTTGGTTGGTGGGGCGACTGTGACAGTTGTGTTCGTCGCTTCAGTTGTTGTCGTTGATTTGGTTGGTGGGGCGACTGTGACAGTTGTGTTCGTCGCTTCAGTTGTTGTCGTTGATTTGGTTGGTGGGGCGACTGTGACTGTTGTGTTTGTCGCTTCAGTTGTTGTCGTTGATTTGGTTGGTGGGGCGACTGTGACAGTTGTGTTCGTCGCTTCAGTTGTTGTCATTGATTTGGTTGGTGGGGCGACTGTGACAGTTGTGTTCGTCGCTTCAGTTGTTGTCGTTGATTTGGTTGGTGGTGCCGCTGTGACAGTTGTGTTCGTCACTTCAGTTGTCGTTGCATTGGTTGGTGGTGCCTCTGTGACAGTTGTGTTTGTCGCTTCAGTTGTTGTCGTTGCATTGGTTGGTGGTGCCGCTGTGACAGTTGTGTTCGTCGCTTTAGTTGTTGTCGTTGCATTGGTTGGTGGTGCGACTGTGACAGTTGTGTTCGTCGCTTCAGTTGTTGTCGTTGCATTGGTTGGTTGTGCGACTGTGACAGTTGTGTTCGTCGCTTCAGTTGTTGTCGTCGCATTGGTTGGTTTAGCCGCTGTGACAGTTGTTTTAGCCGCTTTAGTTGTCGTTGTATTGGTATTGCTTGGTGGCTTAGATTTGGTACTTGTGAACGGTTCTATATTTGTTGTAAAGGTAATTTCTGCTATTGTGCTTTTAGTCGATTTAACTAATTTTGCTGCTCTTTGATACCTTCTTAATTCGATTAAAGTGGTTGGTTCAGTAAGTGTACAGTTTATTATATATTTATTATTATCTTTGCAAATTTTCCTTCCATTTATTGCAGGTATACATTGTTTAATATTTTTCAATATATTTGCTATAAATAAGATAAACAAAATATTAAATTTTTTAATTATAAAGTATTTTATAATTACTGTTAATAAATCATATATTTTTAAAGCTGGTGGGTGGGTCTGAACTTTTAATAAAAATGCAAATTTCATTAGAATCTACTTATTGTTTTAAATTATAATAATATTTTTATACCTATTTATTTTAATTTATTTCAATTTTGTTTAGAACTATACAGTGTCCAAAAAATGGCGCAACCACGTGTGTTTAACCCTTCTACAACGTGGTATACCGTGGCCACAGGTACGTTGTAAGGTATTAAATAACAAAAATTTAAAATTTTATTAAATTTTATTAAATTTTATTTTTTTATTTTATATCTTTCTGGATGTTTAAACTACAGCATATAAAAATAATAAAATTGACATGGCAGACAAAAAATGTGTGTCCAAAAATTTCAAAACTCGATCAACAGACTTAAAAATTTAAACAACAACTACTGTCGATATTTAGAAAGGGGATTCATATTTTTTTGGGTCTGTAGATTATCCATCTTCAGGGTGATGCGCGACTTTGGGACACCCTATATTATTTATTTGTTATTAAAAATTAAGTAATTTAGATGGACCAAGCATAATTGTGTTTTTGGTATTTTTAATATTACCTACCTTCTTTATAATGTATATTCAAGCATTTATAAGCATTTTTGCTATCCCTGTCGTAATTGCTAGTTTGGTTAAATGGAAGTGAAGGGATATTGTTGTTACACTGCATATAAGAAATCGGTTCCGAATTACATTCGTCATTTTTACAAGTTGGACAATAAACTTTGTCACCTAAAATTTAGAAAAAAATATATTTTTAGATTTGAAATACAGTGCGTTTTTTATTTTTGGACTTGATGAGCTAAAACAACAGGTACCTACCTACTAAACCTTTAATTGGTTAATGCTTTATCTAAAGAAATGTCAATGTACTTTTAAAATATTTTAAAACAGATGTAAACATGATTACCGTGTTTAATATTACAAATACCAAATTTTATTAATAACAGGGTAGATGGAAACAAGGTTTAATAAAATAAAAATTTAAGCAAAATGTTTTACTGTACGATATAATGAATCGAATTCCTAATACCTTTAATGTGACAAAATCATAATTTTACACTGGAAAAGAATATTTAATTAATTTAATATTTTTAATTAATTTAATTAGCATAAACTATAATATAGCAAAACATAAGTGTTAGTTTTTAAAGGTTGGTAATTTCTGCCAATTTTTTTACATTGAAGATATCGCATCTAAACAACAAAATTAAAAGACAATCAATCAAAAGTTAGATATGTAGGTATATTATAATAAACTTACTTAAAACTGTGTTTAGTAAATACCAAAAGAACAATAGATGTGGTTTCATTATATCTTAAAATGTAACTACATATAGATTGAATTTTTATATGCAATAGATCAAATTAGTTAATAAGAACTGATAACGCAAATTGCCTGTTATCTTAGTTTGTATTGTAAAAATTATCAATCAATCAATAATATTAAATCTTTAAATCAAACTTTTAAGGCTAGGGGCTTACCCTAAATTATTCACAATGTGAAGTTATTGGTAATAAAATTTAATATTTATTTTTATTTAATATTAATTTTAATTAAGTTCATCATCAATGTGTTCGCTGGTATTGCTTAAATTTTCCATGGTTGTCGTTGATTGGTTAACCACAACGGGATGCATATTATTTCTAAAACTCTGTTAAGTATATTTAACACATCATCGTTGTTGCAGTCTTCTTATCATTTTAATGTTTTATCCACAGACCTGTGGTTTTATCATAATTTACCTTAATTACAAAAATGACACTATCAACAATGTCCCGTTTTTTTTTGAAAAAAATGCCTATACCATAGACAATAAATCATATGTTAAATTTGACAAAATTAGACAGTGACAATGACATTGTAAATAAAGGTTAAGGTTTTTTGAAAGTATATTTTCTGCTCAATTTTTTTAAATATGGCTAAATTTCTCAATGTACGAAGTTGCATGTCTTTCGCGAGTGATAGTTTTTTTCAGAGGGTTAGAAATTCATTGACAGAATCAGGTAATAATGTTTGAATTGGTTATTCTTATGAATTTATATAACATTGTTTTAAGGCATTATTTGGGAAAATATTGTATCGAAACATTTAAGTCCTATGCAAGCTTATGGAAGATCTGCAGAAATTGACAAAGCATTTTACCATAAAACAGGAATAGATGTGAGTGCAAAACCTATTTTTAATGATAAGGGTGTTCAAATTGAACAATGAAACAAATTAGTTAAACTGATGTAAGCTGTAAAAGACGTTTTTGTATAAATAAGATTAAAAATAACATCTAAAACATAAAGTGTTCCGTCAACAAACTTCTTCAATTTTTTCATAAGTTTGCGATTATAAAAATTTTTATTTTTTAATAATTATTATAATTTTTAGTTTAAAAAAACTTTCTACGTCATTTTTTATCGATAAATACAACCAAAATGTCATTACGGTATTGATAATTCTATAGAACCCTATAGGGTTTTTTATAAGAAAGCAAGACGTTTTACAGGAAATATGTTAATGATGTTGGCCAATTGTTTTTTTAACAAAATTTGATGATTTTGCTTTGGATGACCTAGCTTTACCAAGATGTTCGACAAGTCCATACTGCTGCTATTACAATGTAAACACTAAAGTTGGAAATGGGTACCATTGTAAAACTATTTAATTTTCTGAGATTTTAAATAAAGTAGTTCAAACGGCTAACGTTTCTGAGTCGGGCAGTAGGTAAGGCTTGCTAAGATTTTGTTCAGTGGGCGCCAGATTTATCTTAAGACCTATTTTAAGTATAAAAACTGTTATGTTATGTCTCAAAATTTGATAATCAATATACAAATTGGAAATTCAAAAATGATGTTAAATAATTATGTGAATTAATTGTGATATGATTACAAAAACAGCAATAAAATAATTTAGTACAGTTCTTTATCATAATATAATATAATATTATTATTTTATATATTATATATATATATATATATTATAATAATTATAGTTATGATAGTATATTGGCAATTATAAATATAATGAAAATAGTTATTAAAGCTTGCTTTTGCATCAGCATTAATAGTTCAATTAACTTCATTATTTTCTCGGTAACATGCCATACACCAATTTTGCATAATAAACTATAGTTTATAAACTTCACAAACTATAATAATAAAGATTTTATTTTTGAACTAAAATAATTACATTTTGATACCTTAGTATAAAACAGGATTAGGCAAAATGCCGTTCAAAATTATTCAAAATTGTCTTGAACAATTTTTTTCTCTTTAAATTACCTAGCTTATAAAGATAAATGCTAGCCTAAAATAAATAAAAAATAAACAATAGGTATATTTTTAATCTACTTAAAATTACAAAAAATATAGGAGACAGTTTTGTCTGTTATCATACGATTATGATCTTTGAAAAGGTTTTACTAGGAACACAAATGCAATATTTTAAAATATAAAAATAGTTGTAGATATTATATCAAATCAACCAATGACGCGTTGCTGACAAAATTTATTTATTTAATATTTTTAGTTTTTTTAAGTGTTTCCTTTGTATTGGTACGTCAGACTATTTTGAATTTTACAGTCGTTTGGGTTAAGGTTATATTTCAAAAAGTTGGCCACTGGTTCTGAGGTTAGAACTTAATATTTTCGTAACTAAAATGAAATTTGAAGAATATATTTATCAGATCCTTAGGCTCTTTAAATTATGTACAAAATCTCCCAATAAGGTATTGAAAATGTATTAAAATTACCTTGAAATATAGTAAATGTCCAATCCGTGACTGTCAGCAAAGATTTATGACTGCTGGAAAAATATTGTTTCTGCAGTCCTAAGTATAATATTTTTTATTTAATTTGTAGAAGTCTATACAGTTATTAACTAATTTTTGGTTAAAAAAGAACCTAAAACATTTTGTGATGTCCCTTAATTTAAAATGTCCATTCCGTGACGCCATTTTCACGCAATATAATATTCACAACTCGGCAAGGCTTTCTCAACAAGGTAAAATATCTATTGTAGTTTGTAGTACCTGTCAAAGTTAAACAAGGTGAGTAAATTATTTTATGTTTATAGGTGTAAATAAGAAATAATTAATTAATATATGAGTGCGTACTGTAAAGACTACTAATAAGTCTAACACTTATGACTAAAGATGGGATATTTAGGTACTAAAAACTGAAAATTAGGTAACTAAAAAGGTACTAAAAAAAGCATTTTAGGTTAAAAAACAGCATTTTAGGTAAAAAAAAACATTAAAAGTTCACGTTTTGTTTATAATTTTGTTTAGCCGCATACCCAAACACAGAACATACCCACAATAAACTATTTCTATGCAATAAACTGTTTCACTGAGTGACACTCACTACACAGAAGTTCTATGACAGAACATAAGCTCACTACAAAGAAGGTAACTGCAAAGAAAGTTACTGTTACAGTCTGTGACCATAAGAAAAGATTGTATACCGTTGAGTTGCACGCTCTGGATAAAATATTGGCGCAAAATTTAAAAAGAACACAAAAAAATAAAATAAGTAAAAATAGGTAATAATAGGTAACAAATAGGTGAAACTAAACTGACAAATTAAAAAATATGTAACAAAAGTATAAAAAGGTAGTTTAAAGCAAAAACCTCCAAAAAAGGTAAAAAAGGTGAAAACATGTTAAAAAAATAGGTAACAAAAGTATAAAAAAGGTAGTTTAAAGCAAAAACCTCCAAAAAAGGTAAAAAAGGTGAAAACAAGTTAGGTTCATATAAAAGAAAATCTTTTAAAACACATTTTGGCATTATTGGTTTTCAAATAGTTACATCGGTTGAAAAAAGGTAAAATAACTAAAATCCCATCCCTACTTATGACACTTGCTAGACTATCAATTTCTTTAGATGTAAACCATTCTGAGTAGTTTATCCTAAAGCTAAAGATCGCGAAATATGTGCTTGCGTCAAACATGAAAATTTTGGTTTTATCACCCAAAAACTATATTTCGAGAAAATTTTAAACACACAGAATGAAGATGAAATCGTTAAAGGAAATTTTCAAATCAATCTTAAAAAAGAAGAAGAGACCGATATTTTAAATATAAAATAGTAGAAAATAATCATCGAAGAAGGGATAATAAAAATGTAAATAAAAAAAATTAAATTAATATTTGCAATACCCTTTATTTTGGCGTCACGGAAAAGACAACATTTATTCTTCCAAAAATAAAAATTCTTAAAAAAAAAATACAATCTAGTTCGTATCATGTATGACAAGCATAAAATATTCAATATTTGATTAATATTCTATAGAAATAATATGTAATTAATAATAATTATAATTTTTTTAATAAAATTCCTATTTTGGCCAACTTTTTGAAAAATACCCTTAAACTCTGAATATTCTTGGTTTTTTAAAGATATTTAGTTCAAACAAAAACCACGTTAAAGAGCATTAATACAAAGTGACTCAAAAAAACTTAATATTTAAAAAACGCTGTGGCTCCCGTCCCGAGGCGGGACTTAAGTGCAGTCCCGATTGACGTCATAATTTTAAGATTTGTTATGTTATAATAAAATAATAATAAATTGTACCTGTATACATGTTAAGGGCACTTTAGTTACGTCATAAAATCAAACCAACCCAAACTCAACAACACAACCCAACCGACCCCGCCCCATTGGGCCCCCCCCCCCGCCCCATTGAGCAAAAAACCCAACTAAAATGGGCAAATTTATGTTACGATAAAAATAAAACACTTTTTAACAAAGAAACAACAAATTTATAAAATAAAAAAAATAAAAAAAGTTTGACAACTTCTAGTGGGATCGAACCCGGTACCTCTCGCATGCCATGCGACCGCCCTACCATCTAAGCCATCGAGCTTGACACAAATTATAAAATCTCGGGGAATAAAAACCGATTTACAGTGTGTGACGTCAATCGGGACTGAACTTAAGTCCCGCCTCGGGACGGGAGCCACATCGTTTAAAAAATTAATAAAAACCTGTTTTGAACTGACTATAGTCAAAAGGGAAAAATAAATACTTTTATCCGAAATCGGCAGTAAAGTAGTCAACAATCGGCATTAAAGTAAAAGAAATCGGCAGTAAAGTAGAACTTTACTGCCGATAATACAAGTATTATATGCAACCTATTATACATTTTAAGATGTGTTTACTGCTACTCAGCAGCAACTAAATAATATTAAAAAAAAGCACCGTCGCGGAGGTCGATTGGACCCTTTCATAAAATGTTTAATTTTATTAATTAGATTAAAAAATCGCCGCGGCGAGCAAATATATTATATATATACTAGGGTGTCCCAAAAAAAAAAAGAATATTTTTTTTCTTCTCGTCTCTTGTGAAAATATGTTGGTTTGTCATGTTTTAAGAGCCCTGTCAAAAGATCAGCACCATAAAAAAATTTTAAGGGGTCGCTCAAGATTTTTAAAAATTACCAAAATCGTCAAAAATTGGATTTTTTTTTATTTTAATTTTTTTTCTCGTTCCGATATTATTTTTTAAATTAAAAATAAAAATGATTCTGAAAATTTTAAATTGATATTTTAATTTCTAAAGGTCGCTCAAGATTTTTTTAACTTTCAAAGTAGTCTATTTTGAATGTTTTCGAGCGACCTCTGAATATAAATATCAACGAACTTTTAGCGACCTTTAGAAATCAAAATATTGATTTGAAATTTACAGAATTTTTATTATTTTCAACCTAAAAAATAATATCGAGGCTAGAAAAAGAATTAAAATAAAACAAAAATTCAATTTTTGACGATTTTGAAAATTTTTAAAAATCTGAGCGACCCCTACAAAATTTTTAATCGAGCTGATATTTTGAAAGGGCTCTTACAGCATGATAAACTAACATATTTTTACAAGAGACAAGAAAAAAAAATATATTCTTTTTTTTTTGGGACACCCTAGTATTATTAAATGTGATTTCGGATAAAATTTAATATGAACCTCGCCATTAAATTCATTTTTTATCACTCACGTGGTTATTTGCCTCGGCTTTCGCCTCTGCAAATAATTTCTACATTCGTGATAAAAAATACGACTTGGCTGCCTTGATACATAACTATTTTCAGCAACCTTTTCTTATTAAATTTGTTTGATATGGATTGACTAGTTGTATTTTATCAAGTTATAACTCAAAAATATCTTCTGCTCTCCGCTTCGAGACCGTTTGTGTAACAAGGGAGAGAGTTGTAAAAAATCCTATAAAAAATCTTGACCCCCTTTACATCCACGAAAATTTTCAAATCTTTTTTTTTGTCTTTTTTTTGTAAGAAATGCTCTTAGAAATTAACTCAATGGTTTAAACAAAATTTAACTTGACATACAATTTATCAATTGAAGAATTGAAGTAAACATAAAATTTTAAAAATCATAATTTATTCTTACCCATTTTAAAATTTCATTATTTAAAGATACCTGGTATAATATTTTAGTTCGTCATTTTAGCTTGTCATCGTCATAGGAATGATAATTATTTTAGCTTGACGCTATTTTAGCTCAAACATATAAAATCTATTTAGTTTAAAAAAATATATATTTTACAGTAAAATTTAAATTCAACAACACAAGACATTTTTTCAAATCCAAGCTCCGGTAACCAAAATGATCCCTTCAGTAGACATGCAGCAATCGCCAGAGTTCGAGTCCCATTGTCTTGGCAATGGGGGGTACTTTTTAATCAAAGACATATGTCCCGCTTTCGTCTCCCTTTCTGCGACGATTTCGACCAGATCCTGAGCTATGACGCATTTCACGTGTTTTGGAGTGTAACCTCTACCATCTAAAACAATCTAACGAACATTGTTACTTTAATGAGCTTTTTGTGTAGAGATATTAGATAATAATAATGTTATATTTATAAATGGGACAACACAGTGGCAACACAAAATTTTAGACCAGATTTATTTGTTTATTCCTGAAAGTTTGGGTACCTATTTAATAATAAAACCCTCTCTGGGTTTGTAAAAGTTAGCTCGATTTTTTTTCTATAGTATTATAAAGTTTTTGAGGTTAAAAATTGCTTTTTATTTTCAAAATATTTATGTTTATTGATACAATCAAATTTAGTTTTAATGGTCAAGTGTAATAGTCTTTTATTTTTATAACATATTTTTTCTACTCCCACCTTTAAAACGCCCATTATCGTACATGTTTCCATGACACTAAGTGACCTTTTAAATACACATTGACAAGTTGTGGCTTTACGGCGCTTTAGTCACGGGCTGAAGTTAGCAACAGGTTTTTAGTCACGGGCTGAAGTTAGTTTTAAGTTAGTTGACAGTCAAATGTCATACAATCGTTAAAATAAAGTGCCTTTCTTGTAAAATAATACTAAATGTGAAAATTATTTTATTATCTCAATACAAAAATAAAAAAATTTTAAATAGTTTCTCAACGCCAATATTTGAAAAGTTTATATGAACATTGTACTGCCTTTTAATTTCGCCGGCAGTAAACTATAACTTAAATTCGGGCACGGACTCAACTGTAAAGTCCCCATAAAACATTTCCTTTACCTTCACTGTGAAAAACTGTCAATTTTCAAGATACATTTCGATTTATAACCTTTATAATTGTGTTTATAAAATGTAAAAATGTGACATTTGACAGTTTCCCCTGTTGTTTCATAGATGGCGCTCTATGCATATTTTTGATTTAAACCATTTTAAGATAATAATAAGTATTTGTCGTGCCTAAATTAAATTCGTGTATAAAATGGCGTTTATCAAACTTGATACATAATATACTATTATTTCTTCAAAATTAGTATTGTTTGTTTCATTAGTTTAGTAATTTTGTTAAATTATTGTAAGAAATTCTAGAAATTTTTTTAACCAAAGTTGGAAACATAAAACCATAAATAAGTAATTATATTTCTAGTAGGTACCAAGTAAAAAAACACAAAGTTGTATCTACTTCAAAAGTATACAAACATTTTTTTAATTAATATTCTTGGAAAATTTAAAGAAATATAATAAAAATAGCTTAATAAGGTTAATAAAAAAATTGACGTTTAATAGGCAACTTAAAATTATAAAAAGACAACATTGCGAACATTGAACTATTTTGAAATTTTTATTTTAAACAAAAATTTAATTTACTCCGTAAGGCTGGAAATTAATTTTGTATGCTCTTAAATTAAAAAAAAAAATATTAAGTGAGGTGGACTAAAGAAAGAGGAAAAAGGCAATTTTATAAGAACATTGAACCCAAACCTTAATTTAATTGCATTAAATATTCATAAATATAAATTATTGAGAGAAACGAGAAACTGTGCCAAAAGAAACAATTTGTAAGCGAAATCAATTTGCTAAATTACCCAAAACTCAAAAACTTCATAATGCCATAAAAAAATCGAGCTTACTTTAACAAACCCAGTGAGGGTTTTATTAGTAACCCCAAATTGGTCGCAGTGTTATAAGTAGGTATATTAAAAAAAATACCTCGAATCTATCATTATTGTAAAAAGCTTGATCAATTTCGGGAAAATGCTCTCTATGTTCGTCTGGATTAATGGGGTTTCTTAAAACAGTATTCCAGTTTATACCTAAAATGTTCATACATTAAAATTAAAAAAGAAAACATGTTAAACTTACCGCGCTCCGCTAATTTTGAACGAACCGATGCAAATATTCGGTCGGCCGAGAACTGCATGCAGTATCTGGCCTTTAATATTCTCATTTTTATTTCGAAAAAGTAATTTTAAAATGCCGAAACATTGGGTTAATAAACTGACTTATCCAAATGACAATTTTATTTGTAGAGTTTAAAGGAAAGTCCCTGTATAATTTTGATAATTTATGTCATGACAAAGGCAAAAGTGATATAAATTTTTGTACTTACTTACTAATAAGGTAGGTATATTTTTTATACCAGAAGGCCATGTATGGATTTACGGTAGTATTGACAAATATCATAAATAATTTATAATAAATTGAATTAGGAAATTGACAATTACCTAGTGAAATATTTTCTAAAAAATAATTTTTTTTCTTAAATATTAATTTTACCTTATTTTCGGATAATATGAAAATGGTTTATAAGCAGTGTTTTTAATAATAGTTATTTATGTCATAAGGCTGTCAAGTAGGTAAGTCTTTTCGTGCTGAACAATTGAGTGAAGGACTAAAAAAACTTCTTAACCAAGTGGCATACAACATTTTGTCTTAAAGGCACATTTTTATTTGTCAAACTATAAATAAAAATTTAATTTTGACAAGTAATTTTTTTAAAATCAATTTTAAAGTTTAATAGTTATTTGTTTTACAAGTGTTAAAAAGCGACTTTTTCATTCGAGTGTTTAAGTTACTCACGAGGCCGTCAGGCCGAGTCTGCATTAACACGAGCTTGAAGAAAGCTTTTCTCACAAGTGAAACAATGTTTTTTCTACGACCCTTTTATTTTTTGTTATATTAAAATACAAAACAAAATAACCTAAAAATGTGTTTGACAGCTGTTACTTTCATCTTATTCTTTTAATTTTTAAGGTATAAGTTACTTAAAATCAATAAACTTACCTTCTCAATTTAAATATAGGCACTAAAAATTAGAATTTATTATACAAACACAATTAATTGTGTTCTAAATGATATTTAGACATTCATATACAAATACAATACAAATTTTAAAACGAATGTCAAACGGTGCTATCAATTTCTTTTCACACAGACCTGTCACTTTTCACACAGAAATGTCACTTTACATTAGTGTTTTGCCTTGCCAATGAAAAGATTCATTTTCTAAGCAACGACGCCATTATGAAGTGTGACTTTTACATAGTGGTCGTAGAAAAAATACATTTTTGTGAGAAGATATAAATTATTTTACAGAAAATAAACATTATATTTTATAACATAGTTAAAATATTCCCACAAAAATGCATTTAGAACTATAAAACTGATTTTTTGAAATATTTTGTCAAAATTTTGACTTTTGGACTTGTACTGTTCTTAAAATCACCGATTCAATTATAATAACAACTATTAAAAGTATAAAGTGAGGTTAGATAGCTCAGAGCTGTTATCAGCTAAAAATTTTTTTTTTGGTCCTATCGGTTTTTTTACAGACTAGTATGTAAAAAGCTTCACCTGATTGGTCCATAGTTATTTTTGATGCTAGATTGCGAAATTCCACTTTTGAATGATGAGCGATAGCGTGCAAAAAAATCATTCCAGAATGCAAAAACAAATCGCAATCAAGTATTAAACAACATTTTTTAAAACGGTATGCCACATATAAATTACTAAAACTGCGAAGAGAAAATTTTGAAACGAATTTAAAAGTATTTTTTGTCGAGTGGTTCATAATGCGCCGATTGCTTTCGCAATTGTTAAAAATTAATGACATTCATTTCTCCTGCTGTGAACAATTTTATTTCTTCCCCTGTATATATTTTCATTCCCTCCCGCTACCATGACTGCGCTACAGTGTTATTGACTTTGAATGTAAACGTTTAAATTAAACGTAGGATTTATATAATATTGACACAATTTTTTTGGAGGGTACCCAAATTGGGTATTTTTAAGCGAAAGTAAGCATTTTTAGAGTTTATCTTAAATAATAATAATAATAATAATAATATTAATAATAATAAATAAAACGTTACTTTTTTAATTTTTTAAAAATTAAGTAATAATTCGCACCACTAGAAAAAAGTATAGTGTTTACCCCTCGTGGAATCGTGAATTCCTTCACTCGCCTATCGGCTCGCTCGGAAATTTTTGATATCTTTTTTAGGTCCAGTCTAATCTAGCTACAATTATTTTTCTGTGCGGACAAACGTCAATCTTTATGAGTCGGCAATAATTTTTTAAATATTAGAAAACCAGGTTTTATTTCGGCTAGAATACAGTTTATAAAATTAAAGTCGGTTCTTGTAGAAAAAAGTTTTAGTAAAATTTGAAAGTTTTATCTCTGTATCTAGGCACCACTCAAGCTAGGACAAAATCTATTACAGGATAATAAGAGGTGCACTAAATCTGTAGTTTTTCCCTATATATTCTATGTACCTATTCATTTTAAATTGTTTTTATTTTTAGATAGTTTTAGATCGTCGAGGATTCGAGCCGCAACATATCAGCTGCTCGATAACAACGGACAGCGTAGAAATTTTGGCAGAAAGAAAAATCGAACAAGGCCACATGAAAGCTGCTAAAAGATACCTAAAATTGCGCCAACAAATTGATCCGAACACTGGAGAATGCTGCATGTCATCAGAGGGGATAATTTTATTAACTGCAAGTTGGTTGTAAAAATTTAAAAATATAAATATATTTTATTATATACAGTGTACAGAATTATACATCAAAGTAAACTTTTGTCAAATAATTTATAAAAATTTAAGGCCATATCGCAAACGAAGTTTTTCAGGAGGTTAAGTAGCTTCAAACAAACATGTTTAAATGCCATTTTCTCGCACGAGTTTACAGTTGTTTGTAAACTTAACATAAAGTTATGTGGACCTGGAATAAGATACACTGTTCAAAATTTCATGACCATTTTAATACCAAATTAACACCATACATGGTCTATATCGATACAAACCAAAATGGTGTTAAATATGGTTCGTTGGTCCAGTGTAAATTCAAATACTAAAATGGTGTAAATTTAACTTTCACACAGTATTAAAATAAATTTTACCTGGTATAAATTGAACTCCTTTTCAGTGTTAAATATAATGTGTTTTTAGTCAAATTAAATCATACTACACAGAAAAAAAGGAAAAAAAGGAAACAGGAAGTTCCTTGACGCATTACAAGTATATTACCAGTGGTATTATTCCAGAAAATTGAACCTTCAACTCGCTAGAGTTAATGTTTTTAGTGCGTTCCACCAACTTAAAATACTTCAAATATTGACAGCTGTTTCCACCTATTTAAGGTCTCTTTAGTATCGAACAACTTGTAGTGTCACACAAAACCAAAGGACTACCTGAGCTTATATACTCTTCATGTAAGTCAACAGAGGCGAGATGTAAGAACATCACGTGATCCACACCGCCTTTTTCGCGATCGGTACACATTATGCAACAAGGAATGCACGGCAAATTGTTTTAATCGTTTTAACAGAGTGCTCTTATTTTACAAACAACATATTTAGTAAACTGAACCATACAGCGGGTTGGTTTCACTAAAGTTTTCTGGGTTAATTTAACCAATTTAAAAAAAATAACTATCTGATTTAGTACCGTCAACTAATCTTTGTTTATATTAACCTTCTCACAGTTGATTTAAATAAATACTTATGGGTCAACTAAATTAATATAGTTAAATGAACTATTCCTTTTTTTCTGTGTAGGTGCACTTCTCAAATATTTTTATATAAACACCGTTTTGGTGTTTGCAGTATAAAACATTTTCAACCATAATTCATGGTGTTATATTAACATCACTTGGTGTTTGATTTTGACACCATTTTAAGATTATTCTTCACACCACAGATATTTTAAACAGTGTAAAATCTGGTTAATATTTGGATAAATTTAACAAATGTTTTTTTACTGTTCATGTTTCCATGACATTAAGTTATCTTTTAAATACACATTGACAAGCTATGTCTTTTGGCGCCTTAGTCAAGGGTTGAAGTTAGCAACAGGTTTTTAGTCACGGGCTGAAGTTAGCTTTAAGTTAGTTACAGTTGTAAAATGTCATAAAATCGTTAAAATAAAGTGACCTTTCTGTGAAATACGAGTAATACTAAATGTGAAAACTATTGTATTATCTGAAGACAAAAATTAAATCATTTTAAGTTAAATAAGTTTAGAACTAAAATTAAATGAAATGTTCTTTAAAGGGTTAAACACTTTTAATACATATTATTAAGGCTAAAATGATAGCCAGCCAACATATTGACAAGCTAAAATACAGTTTTCTACTTGAACATACTTGGTAAAATAGCGTAAAAGTCACTTTCTTTAGATGCAAGATTGAAATACAGTCATATGTCATATGAAACGAACCTCCGACTCAAGCGTCTTCCTTTTACTGAAAATCGTTAACTGCATAAAGTATTATAATTTTTTAAAGTGGATCATGTTCCGAAGCATTTGCTAGAAATAAGAGTAATTGGTCTTTTCTTTCTTGGGTCTCTGTAATAGAAAATGAATGCGTTGTTTTTTAAAATTTTAAGCACAGTAAATAGTTATTTGTTTTAGGTACAAGTGTTGAAATGCGACTTTTTCATGCCAGTGTTTTAGTTGCTCACAAGGCCGTTAGGCCGAGTGTGCATTAACACGAGCTTGAAGAAAGCTTTTCTCACAAGTGAAACACAATGTTTTTTCTACGACCCTTTTATTTTTTATTATTTTCAAATACAAAAAAAATAAACGAAAAAGTGTTTTACAGACCTTTCACTTTTCACACAGAAACGTCACTTTACATTCGTGTTTTGCCTTGCCAATGAAAAGATTTATTTTCTAAGCAACGATGCCATTACGAAATGTGACTTTTACATAGTGGTCATTTAAAAAAAATTTTTTTCTTGATTCTGATGATCAATTACCTGGCGCAAAAACAATTGAACCATCGTTTCTTAACTTAGGTGTTGCGACTTCTAGTAGAGTTGCTTTCAGAAAAAATAATACTGGTATATATAATAATGGGATTAAGAATTAGGGATTTTAAACAAATAATAAAAACTTAAAATGGTATAAAATCTGTATAATTTGGATTTATTTAATGAAATTTTAAATTTGTCTATAAACTATGGTAAATAATAAATTGCACTAATTAAATTTATATTATATTTATTGGGGGCGCCATGGGGCCGGTATGGCCGAGCAAAAAGTTATCTTTGTTTCCGCAAACTTCAATTTAAATTCTGCTTGCACAGAACTTGTTTATTTAATGTCATTATAAACTCATATAAATTTCCACCAACTGCAGAATAAATCCCTAAATTGCAATATAAACTAAAATCTGACATTATTCTTAAAATATTGGCAAATAGAAAAAATAGTTCTCGTGCAAAAAAAATAGGTACTATGCTCCACACCTCAAAGTCCCACCACGTGACCACGTACGGAACGCACTCTTTTGAAAATTTGGCATTTAAGGCTTTTCAGGTTATGTTTCTGTCAAAGTTATCTTTGTTTTCGCAAACTTCAATTTAAATTCTGCTTGCGCAGGACTTGTTTATTTAATGTCATTATAAACTCATATAAATTTCCACCAGCTGCAGAATAAATCCCTAAATTGCAATAAAAACTAAATAATCTGACATTATTTTTAAAATATTGGCAAATAGAAAAAATAGTTCTCGTGCAAAAAAAAAAGGTTCTATGCTCCACACCTCAAAGTCCCACCACGTGACCACGTACGGAACGCAGTCTTTTGAAAATTTGGCATTTAAGGCTTTTCAGGTTATGTTTCTGTCAAAGTATAGTCAACGAAAGAAATAATATTATGTTTAGGCGTTAAAAATTTATAAATCTTTATAACATTTCAATAACAATGGATGGTTTAAGAATTTAAGAATATAAATACTGCATTTAATGAAATTCTAAAGTGTATCGTGCCAAATAAGTAATATTTTTGTGCATTTGGTCCAAATATCTGATTTTCTCCATAAAATAATTTTAACTAAACAGCATTTATTAAAAAAAATCTAGCTTCTCTATTATGAAATAATAATATCTGTATCAAAGGTAGGTTAATGTTGTAATAGGGTAAAAATCTGAAGTTTCACTAAATTTCAAAGAAATGGTTGTTTTGAAGAATTAAGAAATTTAATACTTAGAAGGATTTTTTAAGAGAGCCAGATGTCACTTGGGGGGGCCTAGGAGCATGTTTTGGAAGTAATAAATAAATAGATAGAAAGTTTCTTTGTCCCAAAAGTCCACTAGCGGAAACGCGCACTGAAAAGTAGCCAGATGATGTTTTTCTTGGAAAAGCCTTAACGCTCAATTGAAAACGCTTCCCTTTGTTTAAATCGATCGTTGGAAAATTAAATAATAGAGAAAGAAGTTAAAAGAATAATAACAAATTTATTTAGTTAATAATCATTTAGATTAAGGAATTAGGACTAAGATAAGGATATAACCAGCCGTATAGTAGTTTTACCGATAAGTTTTAAGAATTTAATGTAACCCGAGAAAATTGTCTAATTGTATAACTTAGGTTGAAGTAAAAGGGTAGTTAGTAATTGCAGACATAGGATATTTTAATTTTTTGGACTTTGTTAACGGATTTAAACTTTTTAAGTAACTTTGTAGTTAGGCAACCCCGAATTCAGCGTTAAGTAGGGGTAGAAATTTCTCACTGCACGCCTCTGATTGGCCAGAAACTTCAACCCTAGGCCAAGTCACGCCCTCGACTTAAGGGAGTCTTTAAAAGCCCGACTCAACTGCGTTCTGGAGATGTTATCTTGCAAGATTTCGCGCGCGTCGTTTCCGAGTTCGAAGGTCGAAGTTCTAGCCAGTCAGTGTAATTAATTAGTCAGGTATATTGTTAAGTTTGTTGTAAAGTTGCTTATACCGGTGCTCGCAGTTAAGTTCACCTTAAGTGACCGGTTTAGTTTAAAATTTGTAGTTTAAATTATTAGTTTTATGATTCATTTAGGTTACCTTTTATAAAGTTAATTTAGTTCGGTTTAATTCAAAAGTTAGTTTCTTAATCTTAATTTCTCCGTAAATTCTTTGTTAATTTTCTTTACCATTAAATTATTAATTTTTCTTATTTTCTTTGTTAATTTTTATTCTTCTTCTTAATTGTAAATATATTGTTTGTGGTTAGAATCTGCTTTGTTTCTTTGGGTACCTGTTAATTCTAATTAACCAGTGCTTGGCAAACGTAAGTATATCGTGATTCGCGAAGTGAGATCCGTCGCGAGTGACTTAGTGTGGTGATTCGTGCTTATTGGGATTACCAAATCATCGGCAACCGTCGCTGGAATAAAGGTCAGATTAGTGGTAACATCCTTGTAACGGACTGATAGTAGTCAATATCAGCCCCGCTCCCCGCGTTAATTAACCCAAAAAACCACCCGTTACAACTGGTGTCAGATGTCGAAGTGAGATCCGTCGCGAGTGACTTAGTGTGGTGATTCGTGCTTTTTGGGATTACCAAATCATCGGCAACCGTCGCTGGAATAAAGGTCAGATTAGTGGTAACATCCTTGTAACGGACTGATAGTAGTCAATATCAGCCCCGCTCCCCGCGTTAATTAACCCAAAAAACCACCCGTTACAATGTATTAGAACAAAAAATATCATCTAATTTTGAATTTTAAGGTTAGAAAAATTTATTTTGACCAAAATAAATAAGTATTTTGGATTACTTAAAAGACTGAGTAATATGGTATTTAAAAATGTGGTAGTTTTTCTTATCCAGCTTAAAGTGTACCTAC